GCCACTGCACTCCAGTCTGGGCAACAGAGTGAGATTCCAACTCAAAAACAAAAACAAAAAACAACAACAACAACAAAAATCTGGCTTCCCCCAGGAGCCTCACTTTAAGTAAGTTGTTACTGCACGTTTTTGTTTTTTTTTTTGAGTTGGAGTCTCACTCTGTTGCCCAGACAAGAGTGCAGTGGCATGTTCCCGGCCACCGCAGCCTCACCCTGCTGGGCTCCGATGATCCTTCCGCCTCAGCCTTCCAAATAGCTGGAACCACAGGTGTGTACCATATCGCCTGGTTAATTTTTTGATTTACTGTAGAGATGAGGTCTGGCCAAGTTGCCCAGCTGGACTCAAACCTGTGGCAATCATCTCACCTCAGCCTCCCAAAGTGCTGAAATTATAGGCGTGAGCCACTGCGACCAGTCATTACTTTAATTTTTTTTTAATTTAAGCCAGGCATGGAGGTGGTAAGTCCTATAGTTCCAGCTACTCAGGAGGCTGAGACAGGAAAATCTCTCTTTTTTAATTTTTAGTCAGAGTCTCACTCTGTCACCCAGTGTGGAATGCAGTAGCATGTTCACTGTCACTACAGCCTCAACCTGCTAGGCTCAAGCAATCCTTCCACCTCAGCCTTCCAATTAGCTGGAACTACAGGTATGTGTCACCATGCCTGGCTAATTTTTTTTTTTTTTTTTTAGTTGGAATCTCACTCCACACTCTACTGCCTAGGTTGGAGTGCAGTGGCATGCTCATGGCCACCCCAGCGTCAACCTGCTGGGCTTCAGCAATCTGTTAATTTTTAAATTTATTGTAAAGATGCGGTCTTGCCAAGTTGCCCATGCTGGTCTCAAACCTCTGGGCTCAGGCAAATCCTCTTACCTCCGCTTCCCAAAATGCTGGGATTACAGGTGTGGACCACTACACCGGGCTAGGAAAATCTCTTGAGGCCTGGAGTTTGAAGCCAACGAGGCAACATAGTAAGACCCTGACTCTTAAAAATAAAAAAAAGCTAAAAAAAAAGTTTTCTTCTCTCTTCAATGGCCTTTTTTTTTTCCAGAGACAGCATCTTGCTATGTTGAACTCCTGACCTCAAATGATCCTTCTGCATTGGCCTCCCAAAGTGCTGGAATTACAGGCATAAGCCACCATGCCTAGCCCAAAGGTGTTTAAAGTATACACTGCGCCTTAATCATTATTTGATAGTTAACCTTTAAGAGTTTGGGTGCTGGAAGCAGAACCCCTGAGTTCAAACCTTGTATTAGTCACAAAACTGTCTCTTTCTTCCCTCCCTAAGTCTTAACTTGCTCATCAGTAAAACAGAGAAAAGCAAGATGCTCTGGCACGTCTGGGTGCTGAATCCGTGGCAGTCCCCTCTCTGGTATCAGGGTGACAGGGGCTACCCCAGTCACTCACCGGAAGCAGTGCCGGTGGTACAGCTTGCCCTCGGCCAGGTACCGCTGCACCAGGTGCACATGCTGTTGGCAGGCGGCACACGTGCTGCTGGGGGCTCGGTGGGTGCCCTGCTCCGACAAGCTGCCTGGGGAGAGCTCTTCAGCCTTCAGGGAACAGGGTGGGCAGATAGGGGCGGGGACACGGTCACCAGCCATCCTGCTCAGGAGCACTCCATTCCCCCCACAACAGCCGCCATCCCTCAAGTATGCACCATGCTTCATGTGGATTACCATGAATAATCATGCTTCATGATTACCATGATTACCAACACTTTATCAGGAAGGGCCTAGGATGAGAGACAGTCACCACCCCCCAGATGAGGAAACCAAAGCCCAGCAAGGGGGAAAGCCTTGCTCAAGATCACACAGGCGGCCTGGAAACATAAAAATTCTGACGTCCAGCCCCTGGGGCCTCCCTCCCCACAGGCAGGCAGCTCCCAACCGTACAGTCCTGCTCCCTTGGCTGTTCGGATCCCCTCCCCCTCCTCTTTGGGTGGCCTCCCAAGGGGTTACTGTGCCCTCGAGCCCACCTCAACTGCTATCTTCTTTCCTAGAGCTGCAACAAATTTAAATTCCAGTTTCTCTCCTTCCAAGCACGGTGACTTTGAGCAAGGAGATCATGGAACCCCTGCCTGCCTCAGCCCCACACATCCTCACTGGCACCCACCCTGGGCCTGGCTCTCCTTGGCACCCCTCCAACAAGGAGCAGATGGCGGCAGGTGGCAAAAGCCCTTCCCACACTGTCAAGTGCTGTCCAGATGTGAAGGGCTGGTGACCTTGGAACAGGTGACCGGAATGTGGCCCCCACTTCCTTGCTGAGTGACCTTGGATAAGCCTCAGTGAGCCTCAGTTTCCTCATCTGCCTATCAGGGCCCATAATACCAACCTCCCTGGGTGGATGAGGGGATTAAATGAAATCATGCCATCCCAACAGGAATCAACAGGATATCTACTTTAGAAAGTGTGCGGCTCCTGACAGCCCCTGCTGCACAGTCAGTGTGGTGGACTGCCCTCTCTACCCTCGCCAGACCTGGCAACTCCTGACCCCAAGCCCTGGAGAAAAAAGCGGGGCTCCCTACCCGTACCATGGGGCTGGCCTTCTGACCCAGGGCCCCCCTGCCCTGGCCTGGCAAACCCTACTCCCAAAGCCAATGGGGCAAGGACAGGGAACATCCTCTGAACAACATCAGGAATAACCTTATCACATGACAGTTCCTGCAATGACAGTTGTCCCCCCAACTCAACTCACTCCCTCCACCCCCACCCCTCCTGTGACTCCAGACATCTGCCTACCTGAGCCCCATCTCCTGGTTCCACTGGAGTGGGTGCTACAGATGGTAGGGAGCAGGGCGCCAGGTCCTTTCTGGGCGGTGAGACGCCAGCTGCCAAGAGACAAAAAAGAGCCCTGAGGCAGGTGAAGGGCCTGGAGTCAGGCAGCCCCAACCTGGCTGAAGATTTGAGCTCTGCCGTCATCACCTTTGGGCAGACCACCTAGCACAGGGGAACAAGAGCAGGCTTCTGCCTCACATGGGCCAGGGTCGCCTCCACTCTCAAGCTATACACTGAGGACAGCCCATTTAATCTCACTGAGCTTCCATAAGATGAAGACAGTGATTCCCCCACACAGAGCCGACCTGAGCAACAGCACAACAGAGCAATACCAGAACTCCCAAGTGCTGGCGTGCGGCAGGACCGGCAGCTCACTTTCCATCAGGGCAAGGGAGTTGAGAGAAAGGACCACACTGTGCTGGCCTGAGAGTACAGGAGAGTGGGCTGGCCCCTGGGTGGACACGGAGCCTCCCTGCCTCACCCCAGGTGGGCAGGTGTGGCCAGAACTCTGTGTGCACTCCCTCACCAGAGGCCCACCCAACCCCACCTGATTCCAGCTCCTCTAAGACTCAGCACTTCATTACTACTTTGGTAGATATTCACTGAGTACCTACTCTGCACCCGGTGATCAAAATAAAACTCCAAAAGTCAGAGAACTATACACCAAAAAAAGTCATTTTTACTGTATAATAATTTTAAAAATAAAATCTAAGTTTCTTACTGTGATCTAAAATAGCAAACCGGGCTCGGTGGCTCAGCCTGTAATCCCCCACCTTTGGGAGGCAGAGGTGACTGGATTGCCTGAGCCCGCGGATTCGAGACCCACCTGGGAAACTTGGTGAGACCTCATCTCTACAATAAAATCAAAAAATCAGCCAGGCGTGGTAGCGCGTGCCTGTAATTCCAGCTACTCGGAAGGCAGAGGCGGAAGGATCGCCGGAGCCCAGCAGGTCGAGGCTGCGGTGGCCGGGAGCAGCCACTGCACTCCAGTCTGGGCGACAGAGTGAGACTCCAACTCAAAAACAATAAATAAGTAAATAAATAAAATAAAATAAAATAGCATTCACCAAATGTCAGGCCATAGGCCATAAATAAATCCTAAAATCCATTCAGTGAATGGCAACCACATTTAAAAGATAAAATAGAGCAGAAGCTATCTGTACGCATCACATGCTGCAAGGGGAAGAATCATTTCCTGACACTTGTTTTAGTTACATATGTGTACATGAACTTGAACTATGATCGGAAATTGATTTCTTACTGTGAGTCACGGTAAAAATTCTGAAAGCCCAGCAGCCTAATCAAGGGCCTAGGTGATCTTCCCACATGCCACCACCCGCTCTGTCTTCAACCTCCTCCCCCATCATTCCCCAGCAGCACACAGACTCCCCTCCACCCCCTTCCCTGCAACATTCCTCCCCAGATCTTCACAGGGCCGCCTCCTCCTCGTTTAAGGCTCAGTTAAAATGTCACCTCCTCAGAAAAGTCCTCCCTGATTACCCATCTCAAGCAGCCACTGCCCCCATTGCTTTTTATCACATTACCTTGTTTCCTTCTACTTGCTGATTTGTTCTCTCTCTTCCTCCCCCATCCACTAGCATGCAAACTCTGAGTCTTTCCCATGTGCAGTTGTATCCCCTATGTCTGGCACATAGTAGGAGCTCAATAAATGTTTAATGAATAAGTACCAGGTGCTGGGGTTATAGAGCTGTGAGCTAGACGGAGATGGTCTGCAGGGGAAGAAAGAAGAGTACTGACCATGTTCATCAAGAGGCGAGGGCTACAAGAGCACCTGGAATATCAGGGCAGGCTTTTTGGAGAAGGCAAAATGTGAGCAGGAAAGATACTGCCAGGGGGCAGACAGGAGGAGAACAGAATAAGGTATTTGGGGCAGGAAGCTCAGCAAGAAGAAAGGCTTAGCAGTGAAGGAATAAGATGCACCCAAAGAAGCACAAGAAATTCAACAACACAGCTGGACATGGTGGCTGACACCTGTAATCCCAGCACTTTGGGAGGCAGAGGCGAGAGGACAGCCTGAGCCTAGAGGTTCGAGACCAGCCTGGGCAACTTGGCGAGACCTCATCTCTACAATAAATCAAAAAAAATCAGCCGGGCGTGGTAGTGCACGCCACTACGTGGTAGTTCCAGCTACTTAGAAGGCTGAGGCGGAAGGATCGCTGGAGCCCAGCAAGTCGAGGTTGTGGTGGCCGGGAGCAGCAACTGCACTCCAGTCTGGGCGACTGAGTGAGACTCCAACTCCAAAAAAAAATTAAATTCAACAACACTATGGCTGGTACAGGGAGTGGCTCCAGCTGATGGGCTCCAGCTCTGGAAGCCACACTAAGAAGCTGGACGCCCCCCACCACCCTGTGGGTCAGGTACCCTCTTCTGATCTCCCACAGTCACTGGGCTTCCTTCACTCATGCCCTGGCTCTAGGACAGGGGTCGCTGTGATGTGCCCAGGGTCACAGGCACAGGTAAATACTCAGTACACTGCTGGGGTATCTCAGCCAGGAGCAGGCTCCAAAGTTACCTGGTCTGGTCAAAATCAAGGCTGGTGAAAATTGGTCAAAGTCACCCTTGAAATGCCTCTACTTGCCCAGCAAGTACAAGACAGAACCAGCCGGGGGAGTCGAACAGCCAGCTTTGCCTCCAGAGTTGATACATATCACTGCTTCCTTTGCTTGAGCAGCAAATGGGATAAAAATGCTTTGCAAATGCCGGGCTCAGTGGCTCAGCCTATAATCCCGCGCCTTCGGGAGGTTGAGGTGAGTGGATTACCTGAGCCCGC